TCCTTAGCACTATTTCATCTTTGGCGTGTTTGAGATACAACATCACCACCATTGCCATTTCATCATCAACATCATCCATCGCTTCCATCAATTCTGCAGCCATCTCTATCTTTTTATTTATTTCATTTCATTCTTATTATTTATTTTCATTACTTATATTATTACCCTTTATTAAGTCCATTATTAAACATATTTTCTTATCTTATTTTGCAGCCCAAACTTATAAATTCGAGGACATCAGTACTTGTCAATCCTAGATCGGGACACAATAAGGCTATCTACTCTTCTCACCAAAGTGTGTAGATTCACCTTACATCAAGCGGTAATCAGAGCATAGTTGGATTGACAACAAAAGTGTCATTGGCGTGCAAAGCAAAAAGAAGTTCAAAAGAGAAAAAGACTCCTTCAACAAATTGGAGTGCAAAAAGAAGACAAAAATCAAAAAAGAAGAGAAAAATAAGAAAAGAAGAAAAGAAAAGAAAAAGAGAAGTTCAAAAAGAGAAAGCAAGCCAAGGAAAGTGCTCTGCCATTACAAATACATCAAAGAGGCCTATCTACACTAAGAGAAGATAACCTTATTGTTTTCTTGAGAAAGGTTGCAGTAAGTGTTGTTTCTTGAATTGTAAGTCACCTCTTTCTTTTCTATCCTTTCATTTTCCTTGTCTTCAACCATTTTATTTTTTTAATACCTTTGAATCCTTTCTTCTAGCTTTCCATTTCTTCTATTCTTTCTACCCTAACCATATTTGCAGCCGACGCACACAAGGAAAGAATTAACTTGTTCTAATCTTGAGTAAGTTCTTCAAAGGACTTAGCAAGAGAAATTGAGTGGAAAAAGGCTATTGAGAGAGTGAGATCAGAAGGGGAATTGTTAAAAGCCAAGATATATTCCCGAGAGTAAACACGAGTGTTGAGTGGAGTGATCTTATCTTTTCTTTGGAGTGAAATTGTGAGACTTTGTGAGTGTGCTGGTAAGGTTTATTTTTGTTTTATTTACTAACCATGTCTCAAAGTCCTAAAGGAAATGCAGGTCAAACCAATTTACAAATGCAAGCACTGATTGGAGAAATGATGAGAATGTTTTGAACAGAATTTGATGTTCTCCATGAGAAACTAGACCAAAGACAAGATCAACCACAAACCAAAAACAATGATACTCCTCGTAGGCAACAACCTCTTCCAGAAGATGATGTTCCAAATCCTTATGATGAAGAAGAACCAGCATTGATACAAGGACCTAGGCGTGCCAATGTTGATGATAATATAAGCAACATCAAAATCAAAATTCCTCAATTCCAAGGAAAGACTGATCCAGAAGCCTATCTTGAATGGGAAAGCAAGGTGGAACATGTGTTTAGTTGCCATAACTATTCCAAACTCAAGAAAGTAAGATTGGCAGCCATGGAGTTTGTTGATTATGCTTTGATATGGTGGGATCAACTTACTATTACTCGAAGAAGGAATGGAGAGAGACCAATTTCAACATGGCTCGAAATGAAAGGTATCATGCGTAAACGTTTCATTCCTACTCATTATCACCGAGACATGTTTCAGAAATTGCAGAATTTGAAACAAGGCCAACGGAGTGTGGAGGATTATTATAAAGAAATGGAAGTGGCAATGATCCGAGTCAATATTGAGGAGGATCGTGAAGCAACCATGGCTAGATTTCTTGCTGGACTCAATCCTGAGATTGCCAACACGCTAGAATTGTATCATTACATCGAACTTGATGAAATGGTGCAAATGGCTATGAAAATAGAAAGGCAACTTCGGAGAAGACCTATCTCTCGTACTTCAGTGTCTACATCTTCAAGATGGAGTCCAAACAACAATTTGAGGAAGTCTACTCCTATTCCTACCAAAGAAAAGGTCGAATCATCAAATGCATCTCAACTTGGTAAGGAGAATCGAGGAAAAGAGATCCCTGAACGAACAAGAGACATCCGTTGCTTTAAATGTCTTGGGAGGGGGCATATATCCACACAATGTCCCAATAGAAACACCATGTTACTACTTGGAAATGGTGAGATTGAATCTGACCATGAAGAAAAAGAAGCAACACCAACCGAAGTCGAGGAAGAAGCAGAAATTGGTGCTCCGGTGGAAGGTGAAGCCCTAGTGGTCAAGAGAAGTCTAAGTGCTCAAGTAGTAGAAGACGATGTACAACGGGAAAACATCTTTCATACTCGCTGCCATGTGAATGAAAAGGTGTGTTTCATGATCATAGACGGTGGAAGTTGTACGAATGTGGCAAGTACCATCATGGTAGAAAAATTGGGATTGCAAACATTGAAACATCCAAATCCCTACAAACTTCAATGGCTCAATGAACGAGGTGAACTTAATGTTAATAAATAGGTGATGGTTCCTTTCTTTATTGGTAAGTACAAGGATGAGGTTATGTGCGATGTTGTTCCTATGCATGCTAGCCACTTACTCCTTGGAAGACCATGGCAATATGATAGGAAGACCATTCATGATTGTTTTACCAATCAGTATTCATTCAACCATGGAGGGAAGAAGATCATCCTAACACCTTTGACGCCTAGACAAGTTCAAATTGATCAAATCAAGATGAAACAAAGTGTTGAGGACATGAGGAAAGGAAAATCGAAGTTAATCCAGGAAGAAAACATTCCAAAAACAAGTGCTTATACATCTAAGTGCTTGTTACAAAGATGTTTACTGACGAGGCGCAAGGTCAATGAAGATTTTTCTAACTTTGACAATGCAAGAATTTCCTTTGATTTGCAGGATAATCCAAGTGACACAATCCATCAATTTGGGAGATTAAAGGACGTGACCTTTCAAGAGCCAATAGGTGATGTAAGGTACTTGTACCTTTTCAAATGATTGTGGATCTGGAAGGAAGCAAAACAACCTGCAAAGTGAATGGCTCAAAATAGAATGGTTAAGGGTGGTAGACGTAGGGATGAAATGGTAGGCTATTTAAATAATGAGTGATGGAAGCGGAAGATAGTTGATAAGGGTATGGTTATGGAGATGAAATAAAGGAATGGTTGTGAGGATAGTATCTTGAAGAAATCTCAAAGAAGAACCAATGCTATAGAGAGCAGAGACCCAATCTTTATATTGCTTCTTCAAGGGGTGGTATTAAGTACTTTGACCCACTAGTTATATGAACTAGGAACCAGAAGTATCAAGATGAAAGAAAAGGGGTTGACGCCACAAGTATAAAATACTTGATAAGTCGATAAAAAGTCACCAGGACTTAAGAAGAGAATAATCTCACTTTAATTGAATAAAAAGGTCTAGTTACAAATGAAATATGCTTTCCTATTTATAGGAAATGGAAGGATATGGCCGAATGGTTACAAGAGGTTTCGGCCAGCCCTTGTGCCTCTATAAAATGACATAATTTAATTACAAATAGAGAGGATGGTTCGGTTTAAATGGAAGAAAATATCCTTTGGCCGAATAGTGCTTGTACCCCTTCAAGTTGGCGCCAAATTAGAGAGAAAGGAGTGCTTAGCCGAATGGTAAGAGGACTCTTCATCTTGGCGCCTAAATGAAGTCACACGCCTATCACATGGTGGTCTGGTCACAAGGCGTGCACATGGCCTCTCTAGGATGCTTGTGGTGTAGCCTTGCGCATAGAATGATGGCTGGTCATGTGCTCCATCTTGGGCGTGCATGTGTCTCCTTCCAAGCTAGCTTGAGTGTTGAGCTAGCTAGCAAGAATGGGGCTGTTTATGAATGATCTTCCTAGCCGAGTCCTTTTGAGCTCCATAATAGCATGTTCAGCTACATTCAGCTACCTTTGTCATCACTTTTAGCAACTCAGCTTCAAATAGTCCAACTAGCTAAGTTTAGCTAGCCTGAAGCTTCTCCAGCTGAATCGAGCTTCCCTTAGCATTCCATGAGCTGCCTTGTACTTTGTGAGCTGTTTGTGAGCTGTATGTGACTTCCAAATCGTTCACCAAGCTACCTCAACGTGCATCATACTCCATTGTACCTATATGTGAAAGGAAACAAGGTAAGTTCATGATATTGAGCTAAAACGAGCTAAATACCTTGCTGCCATGTTTGTTTATGGTAATGTGAGCTAAGTATGATGGTCATGAGCTAAGTACATCATCTCCTAATATGTGTAAGATAATGTATAAAGCCTAAGAGTTAATATGAATGCAAATAAACTAATGAAATGCATTATAAGTATGCTGCCTTGATGTATATATAATAATCATGCTTAATATGATAATAAAGCTATCCTAACATGTTTAACATATTAAAATAACAATGTATAATATGAATTCATACTAAGTTATTTTAACTAATATTCTTATCATAAAATATATTATAATAGCATATATTATAAAGCTAATAATAAGTAAATTCAATATAAAGATGTTCAAAAGTACTCCCTTTGTAGATGAAAACGTGATGATATCATCCCCCCCTTCTTTAGGGTGATTTGTCCTCAAATCGAGTTCATTCTGTCCTTGCATAGCTTCACGCCTCTTTGCTAATAGAAAGTATTCTTTGAACGTTTGTGTTCTTCCATTAGGTACCTTTTCGTAAGATTTCCTTTTAGGTCTTTCTTTGGAATATGATTTACCAACAGATACCTTTTGGGAATAATCTTTATCTAAGGATATCCCTTTTGGAAGTGACCTTTTACGTGATTGGTCCTGAAAAGTGAGAAAAGAAAAGGTTTCATATGAAAAGTTACTTACCTTTTGAAGATTAAACCCATTGGTGAAGAGTTGCGACTTTAAGTCCCAAACATCACCATTGTTCATAGAAGACCCTTCATTTTCCAGCATTGAACCATCATGTTTCTCTATGAAGAAGTTTGGTTTCTTGTTTTGTTCCTCTTCATTCTTTGTTGGGGTTTTGTCTTTGCGCCATGCTTGTACACTCTTTCTCATATGCAACTGATCTTGTTGCACTTCTTTGGGCGTTAAAGGCATCAAGGTCACCTTGCGTCCATCATGCTTAAAAGTATATTGATTATGAAAACAATCATGAATAGCCCTTTTATCATACTGCCATGGTCTCCCAAGTAAAATGTGGCTAGCATGCATAGGGACAATGTCACAAAGCACCTCGTCCTTGTACCTACCAACTGAAAAAGGAATTAGAACCTGTTTGGTAACATTTAACTCACCTCCTTCATTGAGCCATTGGAGTTTATACGGAGTAGGATGCTTTGACGTTGCCAATCCAAGTTTTTCAATCATAAGAGTGCTGGCTACGTTTGTGCAACTTCCTCCATCGATGATCATTGTGCAAACCTTATCCTTGACATGGCACCTTGTATGAAAGATATTGTTTCTTTGAATATCCTCTTGGGATGTTTGTGATTGTAGGCACCTCTTTGAAACAAGCATTTCACCATGATCTGCATTTTCTTCCGTTTCTTCGTCTTGTATTATTTCAGGTTTCTCGTCAAAAATAGGCTCATCAGAATCTGATACAATATCTCCATTGTCAAGTACCATCATGGCATTTCGGTTGGGACATTGACTAGCAACATGTCCTTTTCCAAAACACTTGAAACATTTGATGTCTCTTAATCTCTTGAAAGTGCTGGTTTGCTTTTCTTTACCCTTGCTAGATTCGCCCATTTGTGCAGATTTGGGTATCTCTGCGCGTTCCTTTAGTTGGATTGGAGTTTGTTTCCGGAAGGTAATAGGTTCTTGCTTCCATTTGGTGGCCGAATTTGGACTGCTCCTAGTGTATGATTTCCTTTTGAGTTGTCTTTCAATTTTCATGGCCACATGCACCATCTCTTCAATTTCTACATAATGCTGAAGTTCAACAAGGTTAGCAATATCAATATTTAGACCAGATAAGAACCTTGCCATTGTTGCTTCTCTATCTTCATCTACATTGGCTCGGATCATGGCAATCTCCATCTCCTTGAAATAATCTTCAACGTTCTTGCTTCCTTGTTTCAGATTTTGTAACTTATGATAGAGATCTCGGTGATAGTGATTAGGAACAAACCTTTTTCTCATAATAGCCTTCATTTCTTCCCAAGTTGTGATGGGGCGTTCACCATTTCGTCTTCTTGAAATCACCAACTGATCCCACCAAACTAAGGCATAGTCAACGAATTCCATAGCAGCAAGTCTAACCTTCTTTTGCTCCGTATAGTTTTGGCATTCAAAAATGTGTTCAATTTTGATTACCCAATCAAGATATGCTTCTGGATCAGTTCGTCCTTGAAATCGAGGAATAGTCACTTTAATGTTGCTGAAGTTGTCATTTTGATTTCGATGAACATCTCTCCTTGCTACTGATGTTACTTCAGCCTCTTCCTCTTCTAAGTCTTCTTCCATTCTAGGGCGATTTACTCTCCAATTGCCTAGAGATACTTCTAATTGATCCAGACGATCTTGCAAAGGTTCCAATTCTAATTTCAGCAATCTTGCCATCTCACGCATAACGGCTTGAGTCTGCAAATTAGGGGAATCTCTTTCTGGGGATTGTCCTAAACTCCGAGACATGGTTAATAAATAAGAAAAGAATAAGATGTGTAAAAGACCTTACCAGAATATACTCTCACAAAGCCTCACGAGTCACTCCAAGAAAACTTGATGTCACTCAATTCACTCGTGTTTGCACTCTAAGACTTTAATGGCTTTTACTTGTCCTCTTCTGATCTCACACACGCTCTAGCCTTTTTTCTCAATTCTCTTATCTCAAGTTCTAATGAACTTTTACTCAAGACTATATCGAGTAATTTCACTTGTTTGGCGTCGGCTGCAAATGGTTAGTAGGAATGGAAAACAAATATAATTGAAAAGGTGGCTTAGAAATTAGAAAGAAGAGAATGAAAGGGTTACTTACACAAGTCACTTCACAACCTTCTATCACCACAATCAATTTTAAAGGCTTACTTGAAAATGCTTGGTGATGAGAATTGTTGATGAGTGCTTCCAACTTTTCTTTCTTTTCTTTGCTTTTTCTTCTTTTTGAGTGCTTTGACTTTTGAGTCCTTCAATTTTCTTTGCTGATTTTTTTCTTTTTCTTTGACTTTGCACTTCACTTTTGCACTTCTTTTTGTATTTTTCTTTTTGTTGTTGTTGCACGTTGCTTCTTCCACCAAAGCTCTGATACCACTTGATGTAAGGTACTTGTACCTTTTCAAATGATTGTGGATCTAGGAAGGAAGCAAAACAACCTGCAAAGTGAATGGCTCAAAATAGAATGGTTAAGGGTGGTAGACATAGGGATGAAATGGTAGGCTATTTAAATAATGAGTGATGGAAGCGGAAGATAGTTGATAAGGGTATGGTTATGGAGATGAAATAAAGGAATGGTTGTGAGGATAGTATCTTGAAGAAATCTCAAAGAAGAACCAATGCTATAGAGAGCAGAGACCCAATCTTTATATTGCTTCTTCAAGAGGTGGTATTAAGTACTTTGACCCACTAGTTATATGAACTAGGAACCAGAAGTATCAAGATGAAAGAAAAGGGGTTGACGCCACAAGTATAAAATACTTGATAAGTCGATAAAAAGTCACCAGGACTTAAGAAGAGAATAATCTCACTTTAATTGAATAAAAAGGTCTAGTTACAAATGAAATATGCTTTCCTATTTATAGGAAATGGAAGGATATGGCCGAATGGTTACAAGAGGTTTCGACCAGCCCTTGTGCCTCTATAAAATGATATAATTTAATTACAAATAGAGAGGATGGTTCGGTTTAAATGGAAGAAAATATCCTTTGGCCGAATAGTGCTTGTACCCCTTCAAGTTGGCGCCAAATTAGAGAGAAAGGAGTGCTTAGCCGAATGGTAAGAGGACTCTTCATCTTGGCGCCTAAATGAAGTCACACGCCTATCACATGGTGGTCTGGTCATAAGGCGTGCACATGGCCTCTCTAGGATGCTTGTGGTGTAGCCTTGCGCATAGAATGATGGCTGGTCATGTGCTCCATCTTGGGCGTGCATGTGTCTCCTTCCAAGCTAGCTTGAGTGTTGAGCTAGCTAGCAAGAATGGGGCTGTTTATGAATGATCTTTCTAGCCGAGTCCTTTTGAGCTCCATAACAGCATGTTCAGCTACATTCAGCTACCTTTGTCATCACTTTTAGCAACTCAGCTTCAAATAGTCCAACTAGCTAAGTTTAGCTAGCCTGAAGCTTCTCCAGCTGAATCGAGCTTCCCTTAGCATTCCATGAGCTGCCTTGTACTTTGTGAGCTGTTTGTGAGCTGTATGTGACTTCCAAATCGTTCACCAAGCTACCTCAACGTGCATCATACTCCATTGTACCTATATGTGCAAGGAAACAAGGTAAGTTCATGATATTGAGCTAAAACGAGCTAAATACCTTGCTGCCATGTTTGTTTATGGTAATGTGAGCTAAGTATGATGTTCATGAGCTAAGTACATCATCTTCTAATATGTGTAAGATAATGTATAAAGCCTAAGAGTTAATATGAATGCAAATAAACTAATGAAATGCATTATAAGTATGCTGCCTTGATGTATATATAATAATCATGCTTAATATGATAATAAAGCTATCCTAACATGTTTAACATATTAAAATAACAATGTATAATATGAATTCATACTAAGTTATTTTAACTAATATTCTTATCATAAAATATATTATAATAGCATATATTATAAAGCTAATAATAAGTAAATTCAATATAAAGATGTTCAAAAGTACTCCCTTTGTAGATGAAAACGTGATGATATCAATAGGTGCGACTATTGAAGAGCAACGAATGGTAACTCTTCATCCAAATGACGTGATCCATCAAGAATCAAGAGTCATGCCTATTGAAACCCAAAGGGAAATGATTTTTCATCCAAAGGGCGTGACTTATGAGGACATCACCATTCCAAGAGTCACCACCTTTCATGAATCAATGCATCTATCTATGGAAAGGAGCATGATTTTTGGAATACAAAAGGGAACTAACGTTCAAAGCCAAATGTCTTCAATAGACATGAACTTTGAACCTACATTTTTCAGGAAGTATTTCTTAACATTAAATTTGTTTGATCACATTCATACTAATGAAAGTTTTCTTTCTTTTTAGGTTAAGAACTTCCAAAACAGACTTTCAACGGATATGAACCTTTTTGTAAAGATTGAATGGAAGGACACTAAGAAAAGATGATCATTCGATTTGAGGACAAATCGCTCAAAAGAAGGGGAGGATGATGTGATCACAACTACACAAATAGATCCTGAAGTCATGCCCATTGGACCTATCACTCGTGCAAAGGCAAAAAATTCAGGGAAGTACTTTCTCATAAGTGCCTTAATGTTTTAAAATCTTTTAATGAGAAAGAACCATTAGATAATAGGTTGTTTAATATGTTACCTATTGAATATTAAATAACCTATAGTCCACATTATTATATACTACATTGCATAAGTTCATTTACTTAGTTTATTTCTTTATGTTACGCATGTAGGCACATTCGGCCAACACTTGGGAGCTACATTGGAGCTAAATGGAGCATGTAACAGCAAGGAAACTTACAAGGGATCGATTAAGAGAGCACAAGGAACAATTGGTGAAAAGTTGTCCGGAGGCCGTGAGCTCATAGCTGGATTGAGCTGAAGATTTGAGCTACAAGATGAACTCATTTCAGCTGGGGAGTTACACCATCATCATCACCACTTAGGACACTTCAAATATGTCCTAAGTCAAAATTTGTGAAATGGTACCTTTTCGCAAATAGTTGCCACCTCGAGAGGTACCTTTCCACAAGGAGCTGCCCAAACTTTCATCATGTTACAAGTCATCTAAGGCCAGCTCACCACCAGCTCATTCACACCTTAAATAGCTCAAACATGAAGGGACACCTTTCTCAAACATTGTGACCTTTCATGAATGATGCTGCCCATGAAGATACCTTTTGATCTAGAAGCACGTTGGTGAAGAAATTGCAACCATTGGAAGCTTAAATCATCATGAGGAAGAATGCCATGCATATTCGGCCACATCACATGGCATGCACATGAGAGCCTTTGGAGCCAAACATGATAAAGCACATGACTATTCGGCCAAGGAGAGGAAATTGGCGCCAATATGAACAAGCATGAACCATTCGGCCAAGGGAGATGTCTCTCCATCCTTTGACCGAATCATTAAGGCCTTTCATGAAGAGTTAACCGAACCATCATAAGCTCAAAAGACTTATTCATTCAACTCAAGCATTATGTATTTTCCTAGAAACATGTATCTAGCTGAAACAACTTGTAACCATTCGGCCAAGCCCTCTCATTTCCTATAAATAGAGTGGCTTGCCTTCATTTGGATCCATCTCATCTCATATATAAAATTACTCTTGTGAGTTATTTCTCTTCAAAGTTCTTTGTGAACTTTATCGATTAAACAAGTGTAGTTCCTATACTTGTGGTGTCATTCCTTCCATTTTGATTCCTAAATTCCTAGATTGTTATCTAGTGGGTTGAAGACACTATCACCACCCCTCAAGCAAGTTTGTGATGACCGGGATTGTGCTCCTTAGCACTATTTCATCTTTGGCGTGTTTGAGATACAATATCACCACCATTGCCATTTCATCATCAACATCATCCATCGCTTCCATCAATTCCGCAGCCATCTCTATCTTTTTATTTATTTCATTTCATTCTTATTATTTATTTTCATTACTTATATTATTACCCTTTATTAAGTCCATTATTAAACATATTTTCTTATCTTATTTTGCAGCCCAAACTTATAAATTCGAGGACATCAGTACTTGTCAATCCTAGATCGGAACACAATAAGGCTATCTACTCTTCTCACCAAAGTGTGTAGATTCGCCTTACATCAGAACATGACTCTTCATTTGGCTGTAAATCTTTATAAATCTTCAACCTACACTGTCTTCAGTAATCTGGGTATATCTCGAGCTCCCAATATCATATTGATACGATTCAAAGTGCGTTGGAAAGCTAAGAGATAGGGTCTTAAATGTTAAAAGAATTCATCACCAAAATATACTTGTAACATATTCAAAAGTGGCGATCAATCTGACTGTCGTGCACTGTCCATTGGATTGCCTTGAATGTACCTTGCACTAAATACAAAATGTATATAAGTTACAATGCTCAAGGTAATGAATAAATAATAAGTAACATTCTAATGTAACACATGATTCCGT